AGACGCATCTGACCCCACCTCCTTCCAAATCTCCCCTTTCACTCTAGCAGGTAAATCTCTAAAGCAAAAGCCTCATACAAAGTCTTTAATAAAAGCAGAAGTATCTCAAATGAGTGTGATCATCTAAGAATTATAGATGTTGAATCTCTTGATTTAGAAGTAATCATAGACTGACCTAATAACGCTTTTCTGTGGATATAATGACTTTTAGACTATATTTAAGAGTTCTATACTTTCCTCTGTGGTTTTATCCTGTTATATTAATAAATACCCAGAAAGTGAATACTATCTAGTTTTAAACTGGATGACCAGATACATTTTGTATCTTCTGATACCATAGGTCAAATAAACAAGTGTTAACCAATTAAATTAGAGACAAAAATCTGACATATATGATTCATATTTCTGACTGACTTCTAACTAATCTGTTGTTTAAAAAAGACAAATTTCACACAGATGCAGAGTAGCCCTAAAATTGGCTTGGTTAATGAGAGTCTACACTCTCTACAAACCAATCTATGTATGTAAGCCCATCATGCCTGTCCTCAGGCAGAGGACAGGGTTGGGTTGATTCTTAAAATGCATTATAGCAGATCCCTCAAGTGTTCAGTAACTAGAAATATATAACATAGGATGCTACCCAAGTCATCTCCAGTTTCTACAAACTAGAAGCCCCAACTCTATTTCTCCGTGGTCGCTTTTAGCTCTGAACTGACAGATTTCAGAACAGCACCAAGTGCATCATATAGAGAAGTCTTAGCTTTTTTAGGTCTTTCGATAGTAACAAAAAGCCATGCCCACAGTTTCAGGGCAGAAATTCTCCTAGGTGTTGATGGAGTAGCTTGGGTAGCTTAATTTGTGTTGGGAAAGGAGGAGAAAATGTTTTGCGATCACTTTTCCTTCTCCAGGAGCTGCAGCATGATGTGCAGAAGACAAAAGAAGCCTTTCTCCAAAATTCAACTCTCCTAGATCGACTCCCACAATCCACAGAGTCCAACCCCCATGTGCTCGTCTCTGGTCAACTGCACTCCCTCCAGAGGACTTCCTACTTGGAAAAGATGCTGCTTCTAAAAACAAATGAATTTGAGGTTCATCTTGTTTTTCCATTCCAGTTGTAGTCTTGGACATTTGCACACTCCCAAGTCCTTATATCCTGTGAAGTGATAATTATTAGGGCTTTGTGGATGGCACCGTAGGGAAACAGCAGAATAAAGATGCCCTAGACATGCCTACCATTTGAAATGATTCTTCAATCATGTGATCCTTCAATCACATGGACAGTGGACAGATCTTAACCAAACATTTCTTCTTTATTGAACATGTTAAAGTGATATATTTCATATACTTTTTTTTTTTACACTGTTCACATCTCACAGTTATTTGAATCCCCAGCTGGGGTAATTGAGTCATAGAGTAGCTGCTTAGAGCATGGCCTTTTGGTGTATATTTCATTCACTTTTTGAAAAGCCTTTAGTGCATGAACTCTCAAAAAGCTTAACAGAAGACCATAGAGCTCCAATTTCTCATCTCAGTACCAGCAGGAACCAACTATTTAACTAGCAGGACTGAGAGAGCAGAATACTCAATAACCCTCCTCTACAAGCTCCCGTCAAGCAGGTGATCTGTTCATCCCCACAAAAGCACAGAGTGAATGTCAGGAGTCTTCTGAATATTTAAGACCATGAGCTGCTGAGGGTTGAAAACAACTTGAACTTTTATTAGCTCCCAGGGCTGTGCTTGATTCTGTCATAGATGCATGTGAAAATTGTTTCTAATGAAAACTCCTCTTGTTCCAGTTTGTTCTATCACAGTTCAAGGATTTTGGGGACCAGTTGGAATCTTTAAAAGGTCTCATTGTGCATGAAGAAGAGAATTTGGATCACCTCTACCAGCAAGAAAAAGAAGGAAATCCTGACTTGTTCCTGGTATTGCCAATATTTGTCATTCCTAAGGGCTCAGGCTCACCACAGGATTAAAAAATAAGTGAATTACTGTCACGCTGTAGAATCTGTGTGCATCCTAACTCTTGAGCACAGTCATGGATATGCCATTCAGTCTTGTCCTATTTTCCCTAAGGTCTAGAAGAGTATGCCAACATAGAGATCTATTTAAGTAATATTTCTCAGTAATTGTAGGAGACTTAAAAATCTTGATGTCCTTACTAATTAGCTTCAATGAACCAGAATAATCTAGGAGTTGGCTGTTGTGATTAATTGAATTTTTCTTTTTGAAGTTGAAGATCAAATGTAATATGTCCTATTAAATTAATGGTATATTTTTTCCTTCTTTATTACCTTAGTAAGCTTAGTATAGTTAACATAAATGAATGGAAGAATTAAAGAATTCTGAATCTTGCAAACTCCTAAGGACCAATGTTCATAACCTAGATCAAGAGTCAGCACAAATATGACACATGGTCCCAATGCAGCCCCCCGACTTGGTTTTGTAAATAAAGTGTTATTGGTACACAGTCATGCCCTTCCATTTACTTACTATCTGTGGGAGTTTTCACGTTACAAGGGTAGAGTTGAATATTTGCAACAGAGATCATATGGCCCATAAGAGGCTGAAATATTTGTTACCTAACCCTTAATAGAAAAAGTTTCCCGACCCTGACCTAGACTGTTACAACAGAGTTCTGTAGTGAGAAAATGGATATTGTAAAGGATGTTTGCTTAATATATTGTTGACCTAGAGGCTGTTCCTGGATTATTGTCTTAAGAATAAAATTTTGGTGAATTTGCTTTCCTGTGATTTCACCAGAATATGAATATGTGAGTACCATGCTCTCCTAGGGTTATCTTAAGGATTAAATTTTCATTTGCTTTGTAGATAAACTGCATGATCTGTTGAAGGTCAAATTATTGGCAGGCTAAATGGGACTTGAAAGTCCAGAATGGGTCCTTTAAAAAAGAAATCTCATTTCCGTCTTCCTCAAAAGCAAAATTTGAGATTGCTTTCTCTTTCCTGGGCTGTTTTAGGTTCTGGCCATGTGTGCTGCTTGTTCTCGAAAAGCCATAGGATTGAGAGATTTGGGTTCAGGTCCAATTCTGTGGACAAGTCATTTACCTATGTAGGCTCCAGTTTTCCTTTGCCTTTAAGATAAAGATGGTCTGTAGGATTTCTGAGGCTTTTTCATCATCTAGATGTTTCTTAGGGGCATCCCAAAATCTGGACTTTAATTTCTTTTTAACAGAATCACGTGCTGGCACTTACAGCCCAGTCACCTGATATTGAGCATTTGAATGAAGTAAGCCTCAAGCTCCCACTTAGTGACGTGGCTGTAAAGACATTACAGAATGTGAACCGGCAGTGGATTCGGGCCACGGCGACAGCACTGGAACGCTGCAGGTCAGAACAGCCCCGCTCCAACATTGTTTGAATTAAGGTGAAAGGAATGGTTGAGCTCAGGAGGGTGATTGTTACATGGCTCTGTTTCTTTTATTTTTAAACCTTTGTAGTGAGCTTCAGGGGATTGGATTGAATGAAAAGTTTATTTATTGCTGTGAAAAGTGGGTCCAGCTTTTAGAGAAGATAGAAGAGATGCTCAAGGTGAATATTGCTGACAGCCTTCCTGCTCTGCTGGAACAGCAGAGAACATATGAGGTAAATCAACCTGTGCTCTCTGCTACCTTGTTCCCCTCACCCTGGGGCAGAAGTTAGGGTAAGATGGATTTAAGTAAAATACAGATTGTACCTGTCCCTCATCAATCCCTAAACACAAGATGTATGTCTCTGTGCACATTCAGTTGTCAGTTGATCGATCATCTGTAAAATTCTCACACGTTTCATAAATTTCCAAGTTTTGTTTTACTGTTCTATTTTGTTAATGACAGAATGCCTAGATTTTCTGCAGTGGGAAGTAGCTTCCAGCACAACTTTGCTTTCACAGAATGCGAACATTATACCGCTTTACCAGGAGCACGTTAAGATACTTCAACTCATCTTTGCATTTTCCCCGAATAGTTCTCTAAAATATTGACGCACCTGGTATAATCACAATTGTAGCATTAATCATTTCACAGAGGAGTGCCCCCATGCTTATGCTGACAGACATTTGAAGATACCCCTGGTGGTTATGGGCAGATCCTGCATTTCCAAAATGTACATGATTAGTTCATTATAACTTTTTAACATAACTGATTTAAGTCTGTATTGTTATGTTAAGATCATCCGGTGAAAATGACATCTATCCAGCCAAAAAACTGGGTGACTTTGAATAAGTTACTGAATACCCTCATTTCCTCCTCTTCAGATGAATCTAGTAGTACTACTTAAGTCCTGAGGTTGAGGAAAAAGTGAGACAATGCATGTTTTACTCAATGCATAGCAAATAGTAAATGCCCAGTACATGGGCCTTAGATGCAGTTGTTATTAGACCTGTTTGCTTCTGCGATTATATTCATAGGTGCTGCTGTGATGGTTAAGCATTTTCTGCAGTTAGGCTCAAATCATTTGAAAATTCTCATACCCTCGTGAGCTTAGATTTTATTAGGAAATGTAGGTTTCAGATTCATAAAAACAATTCTACTAGCCAGTACTTGATGTTTTAATTCATATACAGATGTTAGAAGCTGAAGTTTCTATAAACCAGACAATTGCTGATTCTTATGTCATCCAGTCCTTACAACTCCTGGACACAGCAGAAATAGAGAAGAGGTAAGCTGTCTGGGGCTCCTGATGGTTGTGGACATGAGGAAGGTAATGCAGTCGGGCGGGCCTCCCACCATGAGAATCTTGACCACGAGTGCCCTGCAGCCCTGTTGTTGATGGACCACGTGGGGCCAGTCTTCTGTCTGTGTGTGAGGATGGAGTCTTGCTTTGTGGCCATAAAAACATCAGTGGCCCTTTTCTGTATGGTAGATGGGTGGGCTTAGGAGACCAGATGCCTTGCAAACACCCATCCGCCAAGTATAGTTAAATAAGTATTTACCCCATAGGATTCTTCTATAGTATGTTTTCTTCTCTACCTTCAATCTCATGACGTTTTGTTATTTAAAAAACAAATGTTAAAGGCGGAGGATATAGCTCAGTGGTAGAGTGCATGCTTAGCATGCATTAGGTCATGGGTTCAATCCCTAGTACCTCTGTTAAATAAATAATAATAATAATAAAGAAATAAACCTAATTACCTTGCCCCTCAAAAAACAAAATAAAAAATAAATGTTAAAGTGCTGCTGTGCCTAGCAGGTAGCTGTGTCACCATTGTGAAAGAAGAGGCTTCTCACTATGCTATGTGCAGTGGGCTGGGGTCTCTGGGCAGCTCCCGTCAGGCTGAGCAGAGCCCCTTAGGCCGGCCTGGTGACAGTGACTGCACCTGCTTGCACAGCGGGTGCACACGCCACCAGTGCCTGGAAGTGGCCTGGCCTCTTAAGTAACTTCTCCACATGTCTCGATAGGCGTTATTTTTCCTTCCCATCATCACCCATGTACCTCTCAATCTTCTTTCAGCATAACTAAGAAATATCAAGCCTATTTCTTCCTAGCTCTGAAGTAATGGATTCAAGCCGGTTTCACGATGATTAACTAGTTTAGATTTGATCAGTTCAGCAAAGCATGACTTTTCCCATAATAAATAAAAGGCCTTATTTATCATGTGAAGGATACTATCTGGGAAAGAAATAGTTGAGTAGTAGCAGAAAGCACGTTCTTTATTGCTGCATTTACGTAACATACAGCCCTCAAGTAATTGATAATATTATAAGGGACTTACCTAGCCATCTCTTTCCCATTGACCCAGCGTTTAGTTTTCTATACAGCACTTGGCATAATGTATGTTAAAACAGCTTCAGTTTGTTTAAGGGACTGGTTGTCATGCATGCTAGCAAAATACCAGGCCACATGCAATTCTCTTCTGCTAAATACTTTTCACCAGCCCACTCACTGCCCCTGCCCTGCCCCACGTTCCCCATCATGTTTAAGTCGAATGGTGCTCAGATTTAAAGAAGTTTTTTTCTATGTAAATTGTGCACATAAATAGCAAATCTGAGTTCCTGTTACGGATTGACACTTATTTTTCTATATGTTAACGTCAGAATACTCTAACCACCTCTTTTTTCACCAAGACCGGAATTTGTTTCGAAGTTTGCGAGGCTAAAGGAGCAGTGGCAGAGTGCCACGCAGGGCGTCCGGCAGAGGAAGAGTGAGGTCGATGGGCTGGTGAGGCAGTGGCAGTACTTCACCACCTCCGAGAGGGACTTGCTCCACTTCCTGTCTGACACTGGCCACCTACTCTCTGCAGTGAAGTGCCAGGATCGCCACAGCCTCCACCAAACGAGAAGTCTGGTCCGTGAGCTGCAGGTAGTGTGTGTGCAGCAACATGTGGGAACCGATGGGGTGGTCTTTATTAGGAAGACGTTCACTCAGCTCAGGTTTATGATTTCTGTGACATCGTGTTTCAAGTGTGTTTTCTGCAGTAGGGAGGCCAGCTGACCGTGGGGACCCTGTTCAGCCTTGTCCTTAGTGGGTCAAAAACCCAGTCTTATCCATTCATCCAGAAGTAGTGAGGCTTTTGTGGGCCGTGGGAGTAGAGATGGGTAGGTGGAGGGTGGTAATTTACATTGGGACTCCTGCTTCCTCATGAAGAGCAAATTCATTTAGGCAACCAAGTTTTCAGTCAGAAAACTGTCTGAGGAGCACAGGACTAGAATAATTGGTTGGCTGTTCCCAGGGCATGTTCCACTGAGCTATCGAACCACTCTTCACTGTAGAGGGACAGCTAAACAAAAACAGTGTCCTTCTGAAATCCTGTGCTTGCCTCATTCATTTATCTGGGCATCAGATATTGAGAACCTGCTCTGTGCTGGGCATAGGGTGTGGACGAGGAGAAGATCTTTGCTTTTGTGAGGGCATCAGACAAGTCAGTAAACAAACAAGAAAAGACGAATTTGATTGGTGGGAGAAATGAGACAAACTAATAAACAAAGCAAATATCAGATTGCAACATGGCCTATGTGGACCATTAAAACAGGGCCCATGATGGAGAGGCTGGGTGCTACTTTGGATTGGGTAATCACTGGGGATGTGACATTTAAATGGGAATCTGAATGACGAGAAGGAGCCAGCTGTGCAGAGATCTGGGGGCAGAGCCTTCAGACACAGGGAACAGCTTTCCCAGAGCCCCCAAGGTGGGAGCAAGCTTAGCAAAGCAGAGGAACAGAAAGAAGGCCAGTATGACTGGACTGTAGCCAGTGAGGCAGCAGTGATGGAAAGCGGACTTGAGAGGCAGTCGGGGAAGAGCTTCCAGGAGGGAGGTGTGGCAGGTTGATGACAGTCTGGGTGTAAAAGGAGCCTTTGAAATTGGAAGAGGAGGCAGCATGATACGATTTATATATTTTTAAAGATCCTCTGGCTACTCTGAGGAGGAGGATGGGATGGGGGTGAGGGGTCAGAGGAGGAGCAGGAATCCAGCATATTACTTATCTATTGCTGCATAACAAGGAAGATTCTTGTTCTCTCTCACAATTCTGGGTTTTCAGGGCTGTTAGGTGGCTCTTGCTAGAGTCTCAGGTGGTTTCAGTCAGATGGCGAATGGGGCTGAAGGCTCCCTCACTTTCCTGTCTAGCACTTAAGCTGGAAAGGCTCAGCCAGCCAGAAACTAGAACAGATGAGGCTCTTAGGGCTTTGTTCCCAGTGGTCTCTCCACCTGGAGGCTTCCAGTAACCAGACTTCTTGTATGGAGGCTCATGGCTTCAATGGTGCATGTCCCAAGAAAGAGATCCAGGGAGAAGCTGTACTGCCTTTTTAGACCTAGCCTCGGACATCGTGCACTTCCACCATCCTCTGTTAGTCAAGACCATCACACCTGCCCATGTGGGTTCAAGAGGAGGGGACAGAGGCACTACCACTTGATGGGGAGGGGCAAGGTTCTGGAAGAACATATGGGGCTAGTGATACTGTTGTCGCCATTTTGTGAAAAATACAGTCTGCTGTAACTCATTAGGCTGTCTCAAGGTCTTGGATGGTGGTTATGATGGATAAGACAGGAGTTGTCACAGTAAGGATAAAAAGGATATATTTGTAGGTTGAGTTTACAGGGCTTGCTGATGGTTTGGATATGGCAGGTCAAGAAAAATCTAAATCCAGGTGACTCTAGATTTTTGGATTGAGCATTTTGGTGAATAGCGTGCTGTTGACCAAGTCAGAGGAGCCTGGACGAGGAGCAGGGGTTTCGAGCAGTGCTGCATATTAGAAGGACACGTGTGGAGTGGCAGGGTGTTCACTGAGTTGCAGTTTTTCTTGTATGTGTCTGCTCCCAAGAGGACTACCTGTCTTACTCCTTTGCTTTTGGGTTATCCTAAGTATTCTCAGAAATATCTTTGTGAATCAACTCTCTGTTGTTGTTTTAATATATTAGCTTCCACTATGGAAAAAGCCTGTATTATTTCTCCCTTGAGAAATTTGAAAATAAAGGAAATCATATTTAGAACAGAAAAAAACTAATTTTTCTCCTGAAATTAAGTGCTTTTGGAAATATCAATCAAATATAAAGTTTTTACTTTATTTTTGTATTATGAATACCGAGTTTCAATACCCTTTAAAGAGAAACCTATGTGATATCCAAATGGAATTTTTAAAGCTGTCCCTTTAGTGCAAACACAGATGTACCTCTTTCTGTGCTTAAGTGTCTGTTTTTGTATTTTGCTTTTTTTATTTGTTCTCTTCTTTTAAATTGTTTAGCACAACGTGCACATTTTACATGGTGGGTTAGGAGTAGGCTACTCTATACTATAATGTTAACGGTATTTGCTCTTAAAGAAGATCTAATACCAGTCATTTTCTTAATACTCTTAGATTCATTTATCTTGTAGGCTTTTATTTTATAAAATATATTTTCAGTTTCTTTGTTCTTCTAATTATTGTATTAAAAATCTTATCTATTACCAACCCTTGGAAATTATTCTAAGAGCACATCAGTTTGTAGTATGCTGTCTACTCATTTAAAATATTAGTCTTTGACGTGAATGAGTGTGTATGTATTCCAACAAGATTACTCTAATTCATATCTAGTTTAACTTTGAAGAGAAACTCCAAAGGAAATATACACAAACACATGCAGTCACATTTTGATCACATCAGAGTCTTAAGCAAATCACTTTTTTCCTTTTTCTTTTTAGAATAAAGAAATTCATTTCCAGAGATGGCAGACTACCTATGCACTCACCTTGGAAGCTGGGGAAAAGTTACTGAACACAACTAACCTGGAAACTAAAGAGTCAATTGGCAAGAGAATCAGTCAACTTCAGGACAACTGGAAGGACACAAAACTCCAACTGGGAGAGACGATTAAACAGTTCCAGAGCATTGCAGAGGTAAGCTCACCATTCACTTTTCCATTCATGATATTCAAATACAATATGTAGAATTTTTGTTTGCTGTGTGAAGATGAGAATGATTTTAGGGAACCACTATTATGGGTTTTCTGAGGGACAGTAAGTCCTACTAATCCGCCAATCATGTTAGATCCTTAATGTGAAAGAATAATGTAACATTTATTGGGAAAGCTTGAGGTTGATAGCTAAGTACTTGAGGTGCTATTTTACATTTACCTTTATGAAACAGGAAACTAATTCATGCTCAAGAGAAGTTCAACACCCACAGCTAATGTTCCACATGTAGCCTGACTTTGGGCACAGTATATGAAAATAAACACAGTGATACTTCCTCTTTCTGCTGTCATCAAAGAATACAGTTTTCCATATAAGTCAATTTCCCAGATAATTTATAACTATACCTTTAGGCACTGGAATGCTTTATTTTGAGTGATTATTAGGAAAATCATTGGTATCTTATTATGCTAAAATATACCAAGTTGTTCTCAAGGACTCTGCGCTGCTCTGAGCCTAGCCCCTACGCTACTGTGCTTTTTGAGTTCTTATGTGGTCATGGTTTTTCTTTCTTTCTATGTAATGTTAAGCTGTTAATTTTTATCTTTTGTTTCTCTGAGTATACCTGCTCCTTATAGCCCACTGTTTGATCTGTTGTATGTGTCCCCAGACCAGATAACCACGCTTGTCAGAGGTGTTTTTCTGAATAAAGAATAAATATGTGTGGAACATCTCTCCTGTGAGTGAAGTATCTAAATTTTGTTTGATGTACAAACTGAAATTCATTAACTAGCAGACACATGTTGAGCACCTGCCGTGTTTGCAAATCATGGAGGTAAATGCAATTAAAGATTTCGTGGAAGAGCTAAGGAAGGACTCACAGTTTTGTTTTGTTTCTCCCTTCACTTTCTTCTTAGTTATGTCCCAGAGAGTTGCTGTTGCTAGACAGGTGGCCTGTCCTTAAGTGAGGTGTTACCATAGGACTGGGCCAACCCAATGACATATAAGTGTCAGTTGTACTGAGGAGTAGAATTCTGTTTGAGTCTATGTTTGTCTATCTCTAGTAACTTCAATAATTTTAGTAATGTCAAGGATAGAAATTTATCCTAATGAATTATAAACCCCCTTTACCTGAAAATACAGGCAACTCTTTGCTCAGCAATGTAGGGTTTAAGAAAGAGAGCTGCTGTGAAAGCATGGCATCACCAGGGAATCTGCGACCTTAGCTCCACTCTTGATTCAGCTACTTTTTTTAATTGACATATAGTCGTTTACAATGTTGTGTTTATTTCTGGTGTACAGCATAGTGAGTCAGTTATACATATATATATATATTCCTTTTCATATTATTTTTCACTATAGGCTGTTACAAAGTATTGAATATAGTTCCCTGTGCTGTACAGTAGAACCTTGCTGTGATCTCTGACTACATGTCCATGGACCAGTCGGTTTTCTCTGAGCCTCAGTTTTCCCATTTTCAGTGTGATGATAACACTTGTGCTGTCTATCTCCTAAACTTATTATAATTACAGTGAGATGATGAGGTTGAAATGCTTTTTTAAACCACAAAGTGCTTCAAGCAGAAAGTGGCAGTCAGGACAGTGGTGAGAAATGGAGAGTGACACCTGACTATGAAAGGGTCACTGAAGCCAAGCTATTTCTAGAAGAGGGAAGAGAGAGAGCAGTTGGATGACATTAGAAAAGGAGACAAGAAAAGTGGTTGAGTGCTTTTGCTCTTCAGTGCTATTAGTGTGTATGCCCAAAAGTGTAAATGCTCAAAATGAATCCTTCTAGTAGCCTTTTAAATGTGAACTTTCCCCCAGATTAAAGTAGAAATAAGTTACCTCGATCAGAAGAAATGGGAGGGAGGAAGAAATATTTCGAAGCAAAAGGCAACCGATGGTTGAGAAGAGCCACACATAAAGTTGCAGAGAGGCGTCAAACCAGACAGGTGCCCCATCTGCTCTTTTAGACCACAGTCTGCTCAAGACAAGGAGCTGGGTTTCTGCGTGGTTTACAAAAACACATTTAATAGAACTATTACATGGATTAAATTAATTATCCAGTTCCTTCAATTCATTCTTTTTTTTTCTTCCTGCAATTCATTCTTAAACAGCCAAATACTTACCAATCTTAATACTGTTTTCAAATAGACCTGGGACCAGTGTGAAAAGAAAATCAAGGAGTTGAAAAACAGGCTGCAGGTTTTAAAGGCACAAAGTAAAGACCCTCTTCCAGAACTTCATGAGGACCTCCATAAAGAAAAAGAGCTCGTGAAGGTACTGAACATCTGAAGTCGTGTTCAAAATAATCACTCGGCTGTTTTCTGCGATGTTGAAGTGTTTGTTTGCCTTTCAGTGCCTGTGTGAAACTAAGCTTTCATGTCCAATTGGAAAACATTTTTCCTACCTTCTCTCTAATACAATATCCTACTCTCTGAAGCAGTTAGAATCAATGCTTTTCAATATCTGTGTGTGAAGATGAGAAAGAGTTTGCAGAAATTCTTCTTAGGATTTGGGGGTTTTCTCCTTCAGATCCTCCTCCTGTTTCTCCTCTCTAATATAAATGTTGGCATCTGAGATTACATTGAACGCTGTTCCCTTGTCAAATGGCCTTGTCTTTAAAATGACAGTAAAGTATGACTGAAGAATTCACTTTTAGAAGTCAGTAGATTGCAGGGGAGGGTATAGCTCAGTGGTACAGCATGTACTTAGCATGCATGAAGTCATGGGTTCAATTCCCAGTACCGTCATTAAAAAATAAATATTTCTTAAAAAAAAAAAAAGAAGTCAATACATTGGGGGTTTTGCTCAAATATACATTTTTATAATACTTTCCAAGCTATATTCTGCCTAATTGATACCACAATTAACAAAAATTCCTGGATATTTTAGGGCTTTGCAGATGACATGGCAAACTTTACAGATAAGAGTTTGGACCAGTAAAATTCCCAGAAACTCCCTCTATCTGTAGGTCTGATGTTTGAAAGACATCAACAGCCTAATGGAATATAGTTTAAAATTTTTTACTTTCTTCCTTTAGTGACTTAGGGATCAAATTGAGAAATTAGGAAGAACTGAATAGTCTCATACTTCAGGTTGTGCTGGAAATTAGCGTTCTCCTTCCTGAACCTTTCTTCTTCACTGTAAAAATTTCTAACATGCAAAAAAAAATTCTAACATAACAAATAATACGACAAAGTGCCACGAAAGCATCACCTAGCTGAAAAACCAAACATTATAAATACAGTGCAAATGCCCTGTATGACCTCCAGTGTACTTCCCCTCCCCAGAGGTATCCACACCCCTGAATTTGGTGTTTGATCATTCTTGTGAAATTCTTTATAGTTTTACCCCATGGGTATGTAGATCTCAATGAAATGTAGAAGTATTACTTTTGGTTTTTTTAAACTTTATATAAGCAGTACCATTACTTAATACTAGTCATAAAGATATACTTCACGTTTCCTTTTGAAAGTTTTCCTATTTTGGTTTTTACATTTCCATGTTTATTCAGTGAAGATCTGATTTTCACATATGTTTTGAGGAAAAGAGCCAACTTTTGTTTTATTCATGTGTACAACCACCATCCTGGTGCCCATTTACTGATTAGTCCAGTGTCCAATATCAAGTTTCCAAATATGCATGACTTGTTTCTTTTTTTAAATTAAAAATAGAATTTTTTATTGAGGTATAGCTGACATACAATATTATATTAGTTTCAAGTGTACAACATGGTGATTAACATTTACACGTATTATGAAGTGATCACCATCATAAATCTAGTAATAATCTGTCATCAAAGTTATTGCAATATTATTGACTATATTTCCTGTGCTGTACTTTATATCCTTGTGGCTTATTTTATAACTAGAAGCTTTTACATCTTAATTCCCTTCACCTATTTCCCCAGTCCCCTAACCTCCTCCCTTCTGGCAACTACCAGTTTGTGTCCTGAATCTGTGAGCCTGTTTCTGTTTATGATTTATTTCTTGGTTCTCCACCCTATTCCATTGGTTTACTTATCTCAGCATTCATACCGAATTACCCCGAGTACGGTGCTATATTAACAACCGATCTTCATCTTAGCTGGGACATATACCCATACGTCATTCTCCCACATGAACGTGGATGTCCTTGGTTCTTTGATCTTACACAACTTTTAGAAGCAGTTTGTCAAACTACAAGAAATCCTGGTAAGAGTTTTAATAGAATTGTATTGAATGTGTAGAATAATTTATGGAAAATTTAACATCTTTTGGACATTGAGTACTCCTATTTCTGAATATGGCATATTTCTCCTTTTGGTTGTGTTCAGTGTTTTATAACTTTATTTATATGGCATTGTACATCTTTTGTTAGATTTATTTCTTGGTAGGTTGCTTTTTAAGTTATTGAAAATATTATCTTTTTCTAATTATATTTTCTGTTTATCACTGGTGCCTAGAAACATGACTAATTTTTTGTGCATCAATATGATACTCAACTGTCTTCCTTAATTCTTTTGTTAATTTCGATACTTTATATATCTATTCTTTTGTTGGGGGGGTTTATGAACACAATCACCATTGGTGAATAATGACTAAAAAAGTTTCTTCCTTTTAATTCTTATACTTCCATTCTGTTCTGTCTACACAGGCAGTATCTTCAGAGCAGTGTTGTAGAAGCATTGATAACTGGCTCTTATGTGTCATTCCAGATTTTGAAGAGAATGATTCTAACATTTCACCATGAAATGTGATTTTTGGTGGTGATGTGTTAGTACATGCCTTTATTGGGTTAAGCAGTTTCCTCTCTATCCCTGATTTTCAAAGTTTTTTATCATCTCTGTGTGTTTTGGTTTAAACCTAGACTTCAGTAACAGATAAGAGGATTTCAAATTACTCTCTCATTTGACACATAGAGTTTACTTTTATCAAGTCAGGAAACCTGTGTCAAATGTGACCCATAAACCCATGAGGAAGCATAATTTCTCCCAAGTAGGACACGTCTCCGTGTCCACCAGGATCCTTTCAGGTTCTATGGTGTCAGCATTCTGTTTCTCAGTGGAAAGAATCAAGGAGAGAGGCCAAGAGCATTGAGTTCATCCAACCTATATCCATATTCCAGAAAGATCCCAAGTAACTTGAAACCTGTCTAGGACAGTGTTTATCATCCCTGAATCACCTGGGGGAGATACCTAATCTCTCGACCAGTCTGACCTTTTACTTTCTTTCTTGAAAATTACACTCCTGTTACAGCCAAGCTGATGTGCAGAAAAATTGCTTTACATGTTTATATGCATGTGTGTGTATGTGTGTGTGTGTGTGATTTCTTTATATATTTTATATACTACCTTTTCTTGTCATTGCTATAGTGGGCATCTGTGTTCATAAAACCTGTCAAACAATTGAGTCCTTAGGACAGTTTTTTTTTTTAATGATTTTTTATTGGAATATTGTTGATGTACAACATTATGCTAGTTTCAGGTGTGCTACATAGTAACTTGACATTTGCATACATTATGAAATGGTCACCATGACAAGTCTAGTAACCATCTGTCCCCAAAGTTATTACAATATTATTGACCATATTCCTTATGCTATAATTTGTATCCCTATAGCTGGAGGTTTGTACGTCTTCATAAAATAATCTTTGAATAAGTAATGTAGTCACATGGTTCACAATTCAGAAGGTGCAAAAGGTACCCATGAAACTTTTTCTCCTATCAGTTTCTCTCCAGAGAGACAATCAGTGTTACCAATGTGCTGTGTATTCTTCCAAAGATATTCTGTGCATATTACAGGCCAGTATTCACATACATGCACATTCATTTTTTGGTCCTCTTTTTACACAAATGGTAGAGTAGAGAATGGGACTTGACAATCCCAACAGTAACTGAGTCCACAGGCAAAAGCTTAAAGGCAGTTGTGCTAAATTAGAGTCTGTTCAAGGCCTGTGTAGTGCACCACTTGATGTAGTCGAACAACTCTTAAGTTTTACATCATGTGTTATAGGGACAGCTGGAATTTTATAGGTACTTTTGCAATATAGAAAATTTCCTAGTTAAATTAAGAAAGGAAAACAAATGACTGATGTTCTCTTTTGCAATTAGTTTGGTAGCAGACCTGAACTATTTTGACTTAAAAACAGAAGCATGATTTTTGTTTGTTTGTTTTTAAAGTTTTTAAGTTATTTATTTATTTATTGGTTGGAGGAGGTAATTAGGTTTACTTAGTATTTAGTCTTAGAGGAGGTACTGGCGATTGAACCCAGGACCTCATGCGTGCCAAGCATGTGCTCTGTCACTTGAGCTATACCCTCCCCCCGCAGAAGCATGATTTGTGAAATGTTTATACAAATAAGTGAGCATCAGCCTTAATAAACTTCCACAGTAGCCCTCACTCTAGGTATTGTTTGATTCCTTGCTTTTTTCCTTAATATTTATGAACATTTTAAAGCTTTTGAGATACACTGCCAGATTCTTTCCTTTCAATCATCCGTGTTGGTATCTGAGGACTTACTGTACACCAGGCCTCGGGATAGATGCCGGGTGGGCAACACGTTGGTAAGCAATGTTGTCATGGCCCCAGCCAGTGTGGAACTGACAGTCTAGACTATTGAAGAGACACATGTTAACCAGAGTCCCACTAAGTGCATACATATGTGTGTGAATAACTGTAAGCATGGTGAGTGGTAGAGGGAAAAGGGACCAGGGGGCTGTGAGAGCGTGAAACAGGGGTCCCAGCCTCATCCAATGACTCAGAGAAGGCTCCTCTGGGGAATTACCTGTGTCTAAGATCTGAAAGTGTCCTTAGGAATTAAATATATCTGCGGGAAGCATCAGGGAGATGGAGTGGGTAGCATTTCGGGCTAGTAATCCAAGAAATACAAATCTAAACAGTAACTAGGGATCATTACACATACTGAACTTGTCCCCAGAATACATAAAACTCAATACTAAACAGTATGTGGAGAAAGATAGTCCTTCCTTTGATGATACAGCCTGGCAGTATTTATTAAGAATCATAATGCATCCAAATTCAAAAGCTCTACACCTGTTAATTATCCTTTTAATTATAGGAAGAAACCAAGTATCCAAACCAACTTGATTTAAACCTGGCAGTGGGTACCTTAAACGAGCCTTCCTTCTGGGCAGGCACCTGTGGCTCACCTCTGAGCGGGAAACACTGCTTGAAGTTCAGTCTTCTGATCTCTAGTTTTGAGTTAGTGAGTGGCAAACGTCCACTTGTGACTTTCCCTCCTTATGTTATGGAGCTAGTAAAAGTGTTCCACTGCAGAATCTGCTCTCATCCATGCTACTTGATTTGTGAAGCTAAAACTAGGAAACAAAAATTTGGAGTGATGATTTCTCTTCTGATAAAGATGGTATTTCTTAAACTCCATGCAACCTTTGAAAAGACTTCTCTGAACCATCTTATTAAATGTGAATCTTTGATGGCAAGTTATGAAATCATGCCAGTGTAGCTTTTAGAACTCTGAAAATCAATCAGAGTTAGCACATCTTTATTGTTGCCACCCCTCAGACTTATTTCTGATATAAAGGAAATAGTCTCTTCTTTCGGATTTCAGTGGACAGGTATGAATAGAGACCCTTAAAATGTGCTAACATACAAAGAATTGGAAGCACAGTAAGAATCTTGAGTGTTTGGGCTGTTTGATTTTACCGTCTCTGTCGTGAAAGTAATTACCTCAATTAAGTCCTAGAATTCAAAACATTTATTTGACAAATACTTCATTAAAAAGAGAAAAAGTATTTCCAGGGTCAGAGGAAATGTTCTGCTAACCCATCTCTGGCAATCATTCGGAAAGAATTTATTTTTTTCTTTGATTATATTCATTCTTTTTGAAAGTTAACTGAAACAGTTTCCTTTGAACAGAAGCTGTTGTTACATGATTACCACCCAGCAACAATGCATTTCTTAGGTATTTTTAAACATGGCAAATCACATTTTACACAACATTTTCGTAACAGTTTCAGGATTAAAAATATGCTTGTGTGTGTGAGAGAGAGATTATTACTAGGTTCCAAAAACACTTTCCTCTAAGTAAAGACCTATTTGACTTTAAAACAGAATGAATTCTATAAAAGCCTGAAACACCTGAGAAAGTGAAAATAAAGGTAGAAAAGAGTTTTCCTTTGAGAGAGTTGGCCAACCACAGCTGCAGACGCCAGCCCTGGGCTGTTTCTCATTGCGAAGGTCCCGCCCCCTTTCCTGGCCTCCCCTCCCCCAGAGTCCAATCAAAGGATTTGCCTACAGGTTTGGAAACAACAGCAGCCTGAGTTGAAGGGTTTCTTTTTTTTCTTTCCTCCCCCCTTCCTTCTTGTGTGTAAATGCAGGAACTAGAGAAGTCTTTGGCTCACTGGACTCAGAACTTGAAAGAACTTCGCACTATGAAGACCGACCTCACCCAGCACATTCTTGTGGAAGACGTGATGGTTTTGAAGGAGCAAATAGAGCATTTGCACAGACAATGGGAGGACCTCTGCTTAAGAGTAAGTCAGCTCACTGCAGGGCACGGCTGTTCTGGTGTTTATTGAAATGTCTCCGAAGGCCAGACAAAGTAGAAAGGAGCTTAATTTCATTGAACCGGAGGCCCTTTTCAGTTGGAGCCCTGGCCGGCCACTGTTCCTTTAGAAGGCAGCAACACTGTTTAACAGATTTGACCCTTTGTTACTCCAGTCCTCAGTGCTGGAACTTTGCACACTTTTAATGAGCTTTTTAAAAAATCACCTTAAGTTGGGGGGAGGGGAGGATTGCAGTTTTGAGCAGCTGTGTGCACTCTGCTCTCGTCTGGTACAGATGACACGTACCAGTCCCTGTCTTAGAATCAGGACTTCAGCAAAGAGGTCTCATCTGGCCTTGGAGCGGTATCTGTTCTGGGCCCAACGAACAGTGGGAGTCATACTTGGTGCCAGACTCGGGGGCATTTTATCCGAGAACTTTGCATTCACATGCGGTCCAGTGTTTATTTCAAGTAGCTGGTTTTTAAAACTCTGTAAAAGAAATGATTAGCTGCTACACTTAGTATCTCAGTGGATCACTTCTGCTCACTAAGAATTAGATTGTGGTGAGGGTATGTTTGTGACAGGATCAGGATGGAATTATAAGGTTCCAACAGAGCCTTGTTTTAAAAACATTTAATTCTAAGGAAAATAAATTCCTTAAGTTCATTTTTGTGAATTAAGAGATGTATTAAAAGTTGAAACTCAGAAACTTTTGAATGCATTTTAGTAAAATAAAAAATGTTTTCCCTTCTTTATCTTAGTATTTAATGTTCACAATATACCCTTAATTTTAAAAGTCCTTTTAGAATTTTTACTCAAATTTTGTATGAAGGGGAATACTTAGAATATGTGGAAAGTATCCTGAAAAGCAGACTGGAGCCCAGGTGTTCCTAATCGTTACCATTTTGAAACCAGCCAGAATGACGCCGTGGAAAGTGCCAGGATTTTTAAAAGCTAAGTAGGTGCTCTGAGGAATAGGAAAACACTTTTTTTTAGGGATAGTTTTTTGAGCCTTCTTAACATATTTGGTTGGGTGGATGTACAAACATTAAGATATTTTTGCCTCACTATGGAAAGAGCAGAGGGGTTTTTTGTACATAGCAGAGAAATCTCTGGGAATTCAGCCTTGGTTTCCCCATTTGCAAAATGGGATGTTCAAACTTGACGGAAAGAACTCTTAGCTACTCCTATCTCTAAGATTCTAAGGATTTCTGAGACCTGGGAATACTTTTGTACATTTAGAAAGGGTGATTTGCATTCTTTAAATTTCTATTTATTTAAGTAATAAATAGAACCCTGTAAGGAGGAAGACCCTTTGATGATGTCAGCTTAGGGGTTGCTAATGCATAAAGGAGCACTTGAGTATTTTGGAATCAGCCTGCTCACTGCAGGCCAGTGTTTGGTTCCATTTCCATGGTTCCCATGCAGAGCCATTGTGCACATTGGAAAGGTGGATTAAATAAGTGATATGTATTGTGTTTTATTTTATTTTGCTTTGTTTTTGAAATATACCACTAAAACATTTAAATGACTTTAATTTTCATGGTCTATATGAATTACAGATGGTAGATTTATATTGTGATCCAGGTGATAGTTTTTAAATTAAATGGGCAAAACATTGACTTTAAGTAAGAATAAGGACTTGATCATTTTTAAGAAAGGTAATAAATTAGCATGTAGCAAGCCGTAAATAAACGCGTGTTGAAAGAATAAGGAACAGAAGAAATTTGTATGCTGTGTAATATATTCTTTCCTGTTTCTAGTTTTTAATATAACTCAATAATAATAGATATGTATTGGATAAAACCGAATCCTTTTGTCAGTTACACTTCAGGTACAATTTTGCTGTTGTTGCTTTTTATGCCATTCATCAAGGTGTAAGACACTTCTGTTGAAGTTAAACCCCAGGGATTTAAAAGGCAGAAACATCACAATGTTTACAGGACCACTGATTAAAATGAATGACTTCTTAGTCCTTTTGATGGGGGTAAAGGGAAGAGAAAAACTTTCCTTCCTGCATGTACTCAGCTTCCAAATGTATTTTCATTTCCAGGTGGCTATACGCAAACAGGAGATAGAAGACAGACTCAATTCGTGGATTGTGTTTAATGAAAAAAATAAAGAGTTGTGTGCGTGGCTGGTGCAGATGGAAAACAAAGTTCTGCAGACAGCAGACATTAGTATTGAAGAAATGATTGAAAAGCTACAGAAGGTAAGCTGGGGTGCCCAGATAGGTGCAGTTATGACTACCATGGTATTTTCTGCCCTCCTCACTTCCAGGCTCAGAACTGTACAATGTTGTAGGTACATTTCCAATGAGACAGGAAATGTGGGTCATTCTAAGTGGGCATCCCACAGGGAAAGGAAGAAAGAACATTCTTCCCACAGTCCCCCAAAATGTCACCCAGTTAAACCTCAGGAAAATTCTTGCTATCTATTCGGCTCAATTAGTACTCACTAGTCCTTGGCTCCCAAGTAGGTTAGATCAGAGGAAACCTGTGAGGGAAACCAGGGCTTTTGAATTAAGAAAGTAACTACTGCCTGCTATATTGCACGTGCACTCAGTGAGCATCATTTGAGTCTTTAGCTGCTCACTGGAGAGCTGCACTAACGGGTGTGAGAAGTGTTTTTATTTTTTGAAAAATTTCAGGAGGCACAACTGTGTGTATATAGCTGGCAAAGAGACGAATTTTGGGTGGTGATTCCATCTTTGTGTTTTGGTGCCTCTGCCAGGACTGCATGGAGGAAATAAATTTGTTCAGTGAAAACAAGCTTCAATTAAAGCAAATGGGTGACCGTCTCATCAAGGCCAGCAACAAGACAAGAGCAGCTGAGATTGATGACAAGCTACATAAAATCAATGACCGTTGGCAGCACCTTTTTGACGTCATTGGATCCAGGTAAGAAATGGCCTAAACATCGATTCCTGCTTCCTGGGTACAGATCTCGAAACTGAGCCCAGTCTTCCTAGGGGGTAATCCCGCGCTTTTACAAACGTACAGATAGAGGCAAGGTTTGGTACAAAAGAGTGGAAATTCTTATTTCAACACAACATGAAGATTATATTTTAATATGTTTCACTGTAATATTTTTTTCTTTAAACTGAAAATTTCACATGAGTTAGACTAGGTTTAATGAGAGTTGGTCCTTGAAGACGTATTATTTATTATTTTGGGGGTTTTTTGTGGGGGCAATTAGGTTTGTTTATTAATTTATTTTAACAGAGGTGCTGGGCTTGAACCCAGGACCTCATGCATGCTAAGCACGCAGTCTACCACTGAGCTATAGCCTCCCCACTGAAGGGGTATTATTTAGAAATTCTAATACTGCCTTAGATTCCCGTGTCCCCCAGATGAAACCAGGCCTGCCTGTTTCTGCTTGTGTGTGGCAAGTACAAGCAGGTCAAGGACACAGGCCTGATTTCCAGATGCTGCTTCTGGAGGTCCCTGACCGCCCCCTGCCCCCACCCACAGGGGCTTGGCACGCCCAAGTCCCAGCTTCTCTGGAGGTGTGTGTTAGGCGTGCCGGTCCCCAGTGGGCATCTGGTCCTCAGGTGTGGACCAAGGAGGCAGGGCTGTGACTATAAATCAAAGCTCTCCAGTGCATCAGAAACAAGACTGATCATTTTATCTCTCTTCATGAAATAATGATGACAAATCTACTCAGAGCTTTGAAATGTCCTGTGTTCAAATCCTCTGTCCAAAGACAGACCCCCACCAAAGTATTTGTCAGTTGTAACCTGGCGCACAAAGAGCAGTCACTTGGCTTTCGGGCCATTCATGCAGCTTTGTTTCCATTGGCCGAGTGAGTCTTTTACATAATAATGCTCAGCTGTTTTGAACACTTATGATATGTGGACTTATATGTGGACTGTGCGGGAGAAACCTGTAAGGTAAATGAACTGGGGAATACTGAAAATAAAATACTCTCAATAATTTGGCGTTCCCTTTACCTCGTTGTTGACTGTAAGCATTAAGCGAACCTGATTCAGTCAGCAGAGGCACCAGGATAAGTGCTATGAGAATTACAGACAGGAAGTAAGATGAGTCAGTTTTATTAATGGGAGCAGGCATCTGAGCAGCTGTAAAGCCAAATGGCTTCAGAGCTCATGTTCCTGCAGTGGCGGGTGGGGTTTGGGAAGAGCCTCATAGAAGAGAGGTGTTCCCAGATGGGCCTAAATTGGGAGTTAGGACTCGAGTGCTATGGGTGGCCGAGAAGGAGAAATGTACATTGTAAGCAAAAAGGTACAGGGTAGAGCAGTATAGAAAACTGTTACAAGAAGCTTCATTGTCTCAAGTGCAGGAGATGAAGCTTTTAGAAAGGTAGGTTGGGGCTGAGTCTTAGAAGAGCTTAAATCTCAACTCAAGACATGGCCTCCTAAACAAAGTCTGAGTCGTTCATAGTTTTTCAGCTATGAAGGGTCAGTTGAAGACTAATACTAGGGTGACTTTGCTGGCAGCCTCAGCTGGGCTGAATTCAAAATCTCTTTACTGCCAGTTGAAAAAAAGAGTCTATGGAAATCCATGGTGGTAACCCAAGTAAGGATTAAGGGCACAGATTTTGAGCCAGTCCTGACTTTACCACTTACCGTGGAAACTTAAGGAGTGATTTATCCTTTCTAAGCCTCAGTTTCAAAATTTGCAAACTGTGTCTAACAGCACCACTTGTGTCTGAGGATGCATAACACATGTCTTGCATTTGGCCCAGAACCGGCATATGGGAGCCAGCATTTATCCAGTGGTTATTATCATTGTCTTTCCCTAAGACCCTAAGTAGCACACTGGTTGAATGAAAGAGGATTCCCTCAGTTATGTCTAATAGTGAGAGGTCTTTCCTCTGTGAGACCAGAGTCTTTATCTTATTTCTAGCACTTAGAACAGTGCTTCAGATATCTGTTGAAATGAATGAATGCTCCAGTATGTATGAATGTGATCATTTCTGTTGGGAAATTGTGTCTGATGTGTCTTTGTCATCACTGTCTTTGTCTTCTAAGTCTTCTTGGGCACCTGGCACTGGCCAAGGGGATAAGGACATCATACCTGTTCTTAGGTCATTCAGGAGCAGGATCTAGGTTATGCTTCCTGAAGACCTGAGTGCTGATTCATTCTTAATCATTTGTGCTTTGGTTATGTCACTTCAGTTTAACAGGCTATTTGCTTTCCTCCCTTCTCTCTGGCTGCCTGTCTTTAGCCAATTCCTTGGTGGGAAAGAGGGAAACAAAAAAAAGCAGGTGAAATTTCAGCGGTCTTTTTGGAAGGAGTAACTGGCAAAATAAGGAGTTGAAATAATAGCAAATACATTGGCTACTGGCTATGTTCTTAACAATGTACTTTTTATGTATGATTTCACTTAATCATTGTAATTCGGAAAGGTAGGTAACATTATCCCATTTTTACAGATGAGGAAACTGAGGCATGGAAGTTAAGTAACTTGCCCACAGTTGCATTACCAGCACATGAGGCAACCAGGACTTGAACTCAGACAGTTGTATTGCCTCCCTGCTACCCCAGATCCTTCTAGTTTGTTACCTTGAAATGAGTAGATCATATTGAGACCCTAATCCCTTCAAAACTGAGGGAATAGTGAGGGAATAATTTATTTTACCTTAAAGCAAAGACCAGGCTGAGACAGATGGCAGACAGTCAAGGAAAATCCCAGTTGAGTTTATACTTCCGGTGAATCTGTGGTTTGAGGCAGCAAACTTGGACCTGCCATAAATTGGCCTCCTGTAGAATCAGTTCCTCGTCTAATCTCTGACACTGATCACATCACCATCAGGAAAACAAGGGGGCACACAGTCTGCAGAATTTGAACCACACCGACCAGAACCTGCAGCCTTGCAGGATACACTAATGGCCTCATTTGCCCAAAGAATTCTAGACACCATTTAACCGCTCTTTCCTGCTCACAGTATTGTGCTGCTTCACTCCTGTGGCAGGGACAGCATCTCTCTTTAAAAATGGTAAGATTTGGAGGAAAACCCTATACAGGTACTGAGCTTCATGACTTCAAGATTTTAACTACAAGCCTTTAAGTTCAAGGCTGGGAATGGTGTTCAGAAGTCTAAGATCTCAGTAAATCAGGTTTAATTCACTGGAGGGGAAAAAAATGGAAAAAGGCCTATTGTTTTGGGTTCATTGTCAGCAATATAGAGGTAAATTTTAAAGAATTGTTAAAACATGGAGGACAGGGTTACTTAAATGCACATTAAGTTTACTGATCATTTCAGGCGGGAGTCTCCATTATGAGGTAGATAGGGGAAGAAACCAGTGTTGTTTATTTTTCTGTATCATTTCATCTCATTCTTGCAACAACCCTACAAGATCAGTATTCTCCATTTCACAGAGAAGGATGCGGCAGTTCAGAGAGGGTAGATAACTGAGCCAGGGGCAGAAGAAGTTCTGCACAGGGTGGGCCGGAGCCAGGGTCTTTCTGTCCCCCTGTACCATGCATCAGAAGAGCACTTGGCAGCTTTGAGACTTTTCAAAGTGGTTATTAGAATTTTCTAAAACCTAGAACTCAATTACTGTCTACTCAAGAGCAGTGGTTCTCAAACATGCATCGGAATCCCTGGAAAGCTCATGAGAACATGGATGGCTGGACACCCCTCCCCCCGAGCTGCTGATTCCGTGGGTCTGGGTGGGGCCAAGAATGTGCATTTCTAACATTAGAGTGCCAGGTGTTGCCAATGGTGCTGGCCCAGGGGACACAGCTAGAGCCAGCAGCAGGGTGAGGTGACATGGTGGATTTGCCACTTACCATGACCAAGTCTTGTGGCCTCTGCGAGCCTGTTTGCTTGTTAAACTGTACAAGGTCCTGGATGAAAGAGCACCACGATAGCTATGGGTGTGTCCATACACATGCGCTTTTGGCCTCCAGTGCAGTGTGGCTATGTGATGGGTGGGGATGGTGCTTAGACCCAAAGCACTGTTTTCCCTCTGCTTGTAAAATGTTTTCCAGCTTCTGTAAAAGCCTTAAAGCAAACAGTCTAAAGGACACATCTCCTAAAATAACCAAAGAATCGAGGGGGTTGGGGTGCCTACGTCAGTCTTAATGCTGACTTCCTCATATAAGGTCACACAGTCCCTCATGTTGGCATTAAAATTCACAGAACTTGCTCTCCATTGAATTGCCACAGGAGCTTTTAGCATTTCTCGTGGGCCCTTGGGCAGCTTCTTAGATTTATGTCATCTGAACTCTTATAAAACACACTATTAATTTCTTCAACAGAAAGCCCATTTGGAGCACTATGTTTTTTGGGAATGGTGTGATTATTCTGGAACCCAGTCTGATTTGATGACAAATATTAAGTGTATCCTACTATGCTTATGGACAGATTAAATGAAAAGTTAATTTTTTTCATTGTAGCTGTTGGCTCTTTCTCTTTCTTAGATAGTATCTTTGAAAAGTGACCCAGAGAAACCTGAATGCAGGAGAGATGGCTAAGTCACAGAAGTCGTTTTGCAGAACTACCGATATGTTTGAGCCTGGGTTTTGGAGAAAGCTAAGTTATCTATTAAGAAGAACAGTTTAGACCCAGGGTGATGGGTGATGGGCCAGAGGATGTGAAGTTGACTTGTTTCAGCACAGACCACAGCTCTGCAAAGAGGGTCCCCGGTCATCGTCCCTTCAATGGGACTGATGCCAAAGAAAGCCTCAGCTCAACACATAATCTCACCTACCCTTGATTTCAAAATCACAATAGTTGAACGCCTTAAAAATCCATCTCCTTTTGTTTCCCCAAATCCCCTCCTCATTTCATTCATCACAGCCTCTGCTGTGCCCCATGACACAGGGGCCCTGTGTCCTCAGTGAGTGACTCTGTCTGGTTGTTCGTCTTGGCAGAGCCTCTTCAGGGACATGGGGTTGGGGGGCCCTTTTTTAAAGACTCTTTGTAGTA